TTATTTTGATTTTAATAAACTAAACGTTCAATTTAGTGAGAAAAATTGAAAAAACGAACTACAAACATATTAACGCCAAACATTCGGTATAATTTATAGAATATTGTAAAAATTATGGTATATAATTATATATATATATATATATATACATATATATATATATATATATATATATATATATATATATATATATATATATATATATATGTAGGATTAAGACTATCAGAAATACAATTATTGATGAAAAACACAGCATGTTCGGCGTTAGTTAACTTTAAGTATAACTTTTTGATTTTTCTAACGGTTGATCGTAAATCATTTTCAAGTTTCTTTAGTTAAAAACCAAAATTTTTGTTTATTTTATGCATGATGGAACAGAAAAGCTTTTTTCGGTGTATTCCTATACCATCTTCGTTTTTCAAATTGATATGTTATGGTCGTGCCCAGATGCTCAAATATATGTATATATACTGCGCCTCTATTCTACTTTGTTGATTCCTTGTTTGTTTAAAGTGAATATATAGTTTTACAATCTTCAACATCGTTAAAAATAACATTTTTACATGTTTTTATTATCGATGATTTCTAAATTTATTGGTAAGAAGTATTCCAATTGCCGTTTGTTGGATATTTATTATCGGGTGTCTTTGTTCTATGAGTATTGATTCGGCTAGTCGTAAATTATAATGGTTGTTATTGTAATGTAAGATTTCAACATCAAGACTTGTGCATGATGAATTCGAATAACAACAATTTCATTAAAATTTCATGATGAACTTGGATAATTTTATTTTTTTCACCAGAAAATTCTAGTAAGGAAAATTGAAAAGACAAACTTTTCTCCCTCCAACACACATACACACACACACACACACACACATATATATATATATATATATATATATATATATGTTGGTAATAGACCATAATTTTTACAATATTCTATAAATTCTACCGAAAACTTCTAATTCTCGAGAGAGATGGAGCAGTCGCTGCTCGCGATCTTGTTCGATTGTTAGATTACGTCGGTTGGTCGCAGAACTTCGGTAGAATTTATAGAATATTGTAAATATATATATATATATATATATATATTAGGAAGAAGACCAAGTTCTATACAGTTGTTCAAAAAATCCACCGACGATTCAGCATTAATATATATATATATATATTATAACGCTATATCATTATTATTATCTTGTTATATATTGTTATCGATTGTAAACCATAGAATCTTTATATAACATAGAGGATTGTAGAAATCTACTGTAGAGGCAATATAAGGGGCAGGATTAGCTAAGTCAATAGCGAGGTTTAGTTTTGGTTATCAAGAGCGTTCAAGTGTCACATTATATATATTATTTTACATATATACGGTTTAGTCGAAGACACACAAGTTCACTTTTTGTGAATGTTTGATTAGTTCTACGGAGTTTGAGATCTTTAGCAATAAACAAATATATACGAATATAAAAATTTTAACCATGTTATGGTAATTTCTGCTTCCTAACGAAAAAATCAACCTCGCACAAAATGCCACATTATTATGTTCGGTTGATCATTTTCAGTATAATTTCATGCGGGTACTAAAATTAAATTACTAATAAACTTGTTTTAAACGTCAATCGTTTCTGCAGGGGTTTTCGATACATCAAATTAATTTTATGTTCAACGAACTATGCCGTTGAGCCAAAAGAGGCAATTCTTTTCGTAACGTCACTGCAACGAACACAACTTGAGATCACAGCTATCGAAATCTTCTTCATGAGGACACAGGGTTGCTAAAAATTTCTAGTAAGCATAAGGCTTTTCGGTCTGAAGTGGAAGGGGAAACTAGAGTCATTAGTTTTTTTTCATCAAAATGTTTATATATAAGCATGACCAAACGTCATTCGTAACAGTTGTCATCAGCACTTCTCAATAAATAAGTTTATAAGTGCCGTCATTGTTTCGGCCGATGGCTCCTTGACCCCTATATTTTAAATTTTTTCAGTGTTAGTGCAATGAGCTTAACAATTTTTTATAGAGAAAAATGCGAAATATCCAACTATTGTTAATAGAATCTGTTTTTGAAAATAAAGTTTTACAGAATCAAATAAAAATGTATAATATTCATAGCGAAAACTACGCTAAATCAAAATTCCGGCTTTAGTTACAGTAACTAGGCCGTAGTGCATAACAATAAAAAGGTTGCGAGTACAAATCACGTTTTTCAAACAGCGAAAATAAAACTTTCTCATTTCAAACACAACATCCGTCAAAACTTCAGAACGTCTCTACAAACTCAAAAACGCAAATCGCATAAATCGATCAACGGAAAATCGTCAAGCGCACCCTTTGCGAAAAATCTATAAAATACAAACTAACCTCGATGGCAGTTCAAACGCTTGTTTTGCTTTCTGTTTGAACGATCGTCTCAAATCAGTCGTCATCACGCTACTCTTTCACATTGCAAAAAATTCAATTCTACTATACTCCCACTTATAGCGCCAATGATGGTCAAAATTTTAATGAACTAGTGTCCTTTAAAAACAATTCGAAGATAGTTGTTTCGAGAATTTTATTCAAATTATGCAAATCTGAATTTAAAATATTTACGAAGACATTTTAATCATGCTCACGCAATTTTATCAGAAAACGGATTTACTCAACAAAATTCAATACAATGAAAAAAGCGAGAAACCATTGAAAACGCAAGCGTCAACTGCCTTGCAGCTCGACTTCAACCTATCAGAACACATTTCTAAAACAGCAAAGCAAGCTATCATGCACGCACGGTATACGATGTACACGAAAACACATCACCGTCAACCACATTTGTGTACAAATATCGTACAAACTCAGGCAGGTTCCATAAATATATAACGGGTCCCACAGCGTATATGAAAGCACATCAGTCTGCAAAGTGATTATAAATACACGTATACGTAAAAAATCCGCTCGGGTTGTACAATTTTTGACGCACGCCAGCGTTACGCAACACAAAACGTACACCAAACGCTACCAATTTACTGCCGAACGTCGCTAATTAACTGCGTCAAACGAGGACGACACACCACAAGCATATGTGAACCGAACTGATTTGATTTCTCTTGTATTAATTTTAACGTACTAAAACTGATAACATGCGGACGCCTAGAAACGAAGACCCCGTAAAATTCGAAAACCACCTGGGATCTAAATTGCAAGTCATAACAGAAACCAAACTCACTCGTCTAAACTTTATTTCGGAAAACTTCATTATCAAGCGTATATATTGCGAACCGACTCATCACTTCAGCCATTGAACAGCGAATATTTCACTAAATTGATGGCACAATAAGCATTAAATGTTGTTAAAAAAAACAAAACAAGTTGTTGTCAACGTCTATTTTAGTTATTTTTCATCCACGTTTCAAACACAATAAAAACGTTAATAAAGATATATTTATAAATTCATAATTTTAAAATACATCTTAAAAATTTTTAATTTTTGATCAAATTTTTTAAATGAAAAATAAATATAAAAATCACATTATCTCCATTTTCTATCATCATCAAAACACAAAAACATAGCATCTTTCCAGATCAATCCAGTTCATCTTGCAACGGTCATAATCATCACTATAATCATATAACCAACATCCTCATCATCACACACCTAAGTGGGACACATGAAAAGTTAAAAATGAATAACACGCTTATCAAAAATAATTAATAATTCTGTGGATTAATTTTAAAATCTAAATTAAACTAAATATTTCTAAATTTAAAATGAAAATAAAAACTAACCACTCCAAGATCCACCTTGATAAGCCCCATATGCAGAATATGAACCAGCTTGAGTTATTACATCAGATTTACCAACTGATCCTCCAGTAGCTGAACCATAACCTGACTGAGTGTAACCTTTAGCAGAATCTCCAGAACCTCCTGCATATGAGCCTCCTTGTCCCATCATACCCAGTAAACCTTGTGCTATCGCAGCCTGAGCAGCTGCAGCAATAATAGCTGGAGAAACTGAAAAATTGGAATTAGCACTATTTCCACCTAAGCCCATACTAGCAGCTACCGCAGCAGCTGCTGCATTGGCTTCAATCATTGCACCAGAAGAACCTGCCTTTGTCCACTCCTTTCCTGAAAAGATTTATATAAAATCACATTTACTTTATTTATTTAAGCAACATTCTTGCTGGGATCATAATTTGTTAGTCAACATTATGCTGATATATTTAAATAGCTCAGTAAAAACGTTTAAGTAAATCGCATTATAAAAACTAAAATGTAAATATGAAAAATGACTAAAAATAGATTCCACTTATTGGAGAACACTAAAGTCATAAAATCAAATAGCAAAGTCATAAGTCAATCTGACATCAAGAAACAACTGAAAAATCATTTATTCCACCTCCTGCAGCAAAAATGAAGACTGCACCTCCAAATTCAGTTCAGGAGAGGCGCTACACAAACACAGCACTAAACATACAATTCAAGTTCAACAATATTTCGCTGAGAGAGATTTCACATAAATTTAGAAAACATAAACCAGTTGACCAAGTCAACATGTTTACTTGACCAAACATTTCAGCCCTAGCCTAGACATCTTGACACTGGCCCATAACACATTGGCGTTATTATTTGATATATACTATTTGAAAATTTTAGAAAAAAGATTAAATGTGAATTAAACCTTGCCAGGATCCATAACCATCATTCATATATCTTTCAGAATTCTTGGGAGTGGCAGTTCCAATATGAACACTAACATTTTTTATCACATGATCGTCTCCATATAGGCTCTGAGCAATAAATGGATCTGCAAATGAAACAAAAGCAAAAGCTCTGAACGGTTTGGGAATGAACACTTCCCTCACTTCACCAAATTGTGAGAAATACTCATGCAAATCTTCGCTAGTCATGTCTTCTGTGAGTCGGCCAACATAAATCTTATTGCTCAATTCAGGATGGACACTGCCTTCATGTAAGGAAACAGCCCATTCCTAAAAATTTTTATGATTTTTGCATTATAAATTACAAACACTTATAAAAATTGAATATCATTTTTTAAATATGCAAAGAAATTAATATTAAATAAATATACCTTGGAGTTTGGTATTCTCAAGTTGCACCATCTTCCATCAATAAGATGCTTCTGAGAAAGCGCCTTTAATTGAGACTCATAATCAGCAAATCTAATGAATCCAAAACCTTTCGACTGTTTTGTCTTGTGGTCAACTTTTAGCTGAATTGAAAAATAATCATTGTCAAGACTTGATCAACATTGTAAAACAAAAAAGATTTAATAACATACCTGAACCATAGTCAGTTCTCCGTATGTAGAAAAATATTTCCGAATATCATCTTCCGTAGATTTCCAGGGCAAGCCAAGAACAATTAAATCACTGCATCTCATTTTATCTAACTTTTTGCTTTTGGACCCGGGATAATCCAGTGGATCGCCCTTCCTTTTTTCTGTAATGGAAAAAATTTCTTATTTTTATGAGTAGCATACAATCAAATATAAACTAAAAAATAAATTTTTATACAATTAATGTAATTTAGCAGGTCGCACATTAAAAAACGTAAGCACGTGAAAGTGAAATTACATCGCAATCGCGAACTCATGCTTTTGTTGTCAATTTTGTTTATCGAAAAAGCATGAATTTGAATTTTTTGGCTGTTGTGTGTGATAAAAGAAATGGGTACTATTATAAAAATATTTTTTCTTTGTTGTTGTGAGTCATCTTTACTGCATACTATTTGCTATGAGGTTGGTATATCTTAAATCATTTTAGAAACATAGTAAAACATAGTAAAGCAACAACAATTTTTGAAAAAAATGTGATAATTAACCTTTTAATAACATTCTGTAAAAATACTTTTGAAGTTAGAGTATGAGAAAATTTTTAGAGTTAAGTTAAGAGTGAGTTGAATAAATAAGTCATTCGAAATTCGTTTTCTCAGTAACTAGAAATGCTACAAAATAAATTTGGTATTATTTTAATCAGAAATATTGCTTTATATTTTTATAAGAAAAAATAATTTATATACAAAAAAATTTTTTAAAATTGTACGACCTGCTAATGTAATTACTTTATAAATTTTAAATGGGTCAAAAATCTGATTTTTAAAATATATTGCCCGATAATAAACGAAAAAATTTTAAAGAATAAAAACGTGTCAACATACGTGCTTCAAGACCGACTTTTGGATAGACTGTAAGAAATATATAGCTTGCCCACCCTTCATCTGGAGCTATCAGTCTCCCTTCTACTAAGCGAACTCCACGAGTCGATTTAGATTCTGCAGTTTTATATTTCAAACCACAGACACCTGGAAACTGCGCAACTACCGTCGATAACAACAAGTCGCTATTAGGCTCCGTCGGCAACTCAATTGGCTCGTCACCGTCATCATCCACTACTTGAACAAATTGACTCATGATATTGCTGCGAGCTTGTCTGAAAAATCAATTAACAAATATTATATTATGAAATAATTTACGAACTTTTATCGACGAAATCACAGTTTTAACTCTAAACAAGTCTGAAAAATTTCCTCCCGGCAATCGACCTACCGGATATATATGAAGGCAATGGCGAAACAAAGATACGTTTCGAGACGAAGCAAAGACAATCTAAAATAATTTATAATATGAAGCTTTATTCCAAAGATAATAAAACACGTACAAAATTTTCAACTAATTTGAAACTGTTATTATTTGTTAAAAAATGAAAAATCCTAATAACATAAATTTTTAAATAAAATAAATTTTTTATTAACAATACAAATGCTTTGATGCGAAAACTCCACCATAACTTAGAATAACTATTACAAGCCCGCGTGCGCTTTAAACTCTGGTGTCAATTTTTAGTCTCCGTAAAATTGATCTAAAATACTATAATTTATCAAACTTTTATAATTTTTACATTTTAATAGTTTATTAATAAATATTTTTAGTTTTATTTATTTTTTAATAGTTACATTTCATGCATTTGCATAACATTTCAGCATATTTAGTTTCTTTTTTTGGTTTCATGAATTATAACAATCTGTGACTAATATCATTGACAGGCCTCCCATGCGAAAAACCTGATGTTTTGTTGACTTCAAATTTTTTTAAAACTGCTTCTCGCCTTATTTACTGGCCAGTTTTTTATTAAAGGCATACTGTTGTAAGTTGCATGTGTAAAATCCATACATTAAATGAGACGATATCGCGATGTATATTAGGTGAACAAATAAAGAGTGTATAGAATCATAAATACATTCAGATCAAATTATTCGGACCAAAGAGGGAATGACAACTTTGATGTTAGCTATATTTGTATGTACATCATCTGGGTCTAAACATAAACACTCGTTCTATAGACATTAGTTATTATATAATAAAATCCTATATGGCTATATTACTAGGGGGTGCCTGTCAAACACTTTAATCTCAAATTCTTGGCCCCAAATTATTTCTGCTATTTATCAGTGCATTAAAATTTGATATTTTTGCTGATGGTGATGACACCCCATTCTACACCACAGCAAACTCTGTGCACGAACTAGAAAGCAAGACCAATAATAGTCTCCAACAAATAACATATTGGTCCGAACTCAATAAAATAAGCCTCAATATTAAAAAAAAGTAAATATATATGATCTTTGAACAAACTAATTTGAATAACAAATTTAAGTTAGCTATAAAATAAATGATTTGAACTTGTAAAAAGTCTTGAGTTTTAAATTACTTGGTGTAATTTGACTCTAAACTAAAGTTTAAAAAACATGTGGATTATATTTTGACCAAGCTTCATAAAATAATTGGACTAATTAATTTAATTAAACATCTATTACCATATAAGATTCTACTACTTTTATATAACGCCTTTATTTATCCTCCCATTTTTTATCGAAAATTTAATTTGGGGCAATACATTCAAAACTTACTTACAAAATACCTTTACAGTCCAACAAAAAATTTTAAAGTTTATAATTTATAAAAGCAATACTAATAATAATGACATTTTTAATAAATTAAAGATATTAACAGTTTATTAAGCTAATTATTTGAAATCTTGTCGTTTAGTTTCCAAACTGTTGTTGCACAACAGTGACCGCACTGAAGATGTCCACCAGAAATCCTCTCTAAGATGGGCCGATAATAGGGTAGATATAAGATCGTCGATCGACCCAAAACTTCATCAAGTGAGATGTCGGAGCAAACTGCAAGAGAGAAATGTATGTTACTACGGATGCACAAATTGGAATCAGCTTCCTCTTTATGTTCGAGAGTGTTCAACAATTTGGGGATTTTAAGTTTGAACTAAAAACTTATTTAAATTGTTTGTCGTGATTGGTATACATGTAATTTTGTTACGATTTTTGTTTCTTTAATTGTAATTTCGTTGAATCTATGAGAAATTTTCTATTTTTTTTCTGTTTTCTATTACGATGTTTTGTTTGTTCGCGGGGTACCCATTTGCAGAAAAGTTATGCTTTTTCGGATATCCTTTTCATGTTTTTTTTCATAAATAAACCTGTTGAAAAAAAATCAGCTTGGCAAACAAGTTCCTTTGAGATCTATTAATGTCTCTAAACGTAAAAAATCTTGAATCACTAAAGATGTCATTAATCTTTCTAAATTAAATCCAAAAACACAAAGAGTCCCAAAGAGGTAAAATGAAGATGAAATTCACAATTGGAAGTTTGAATGTGAGGTCACTGTGGCAAGCTGGAACATATGCGATGCTGAAAAAAGAGCTTGAGAGGTTTAGATTTCATGTGATTGGTTTGTGTGAAGTTAGATGGACAGGAAGTAGAGAATAGGAAAACGAAAAACTGTTATGGTCAGGCACAGAAACCGAGCATATTCATGGAGTGGGAATGATTCTTGGAAAGCAAATAAGAAAAGCATTAATGGAATACAATCCGGTAAAAGACAGGTTTATGTATGCCAGATTCAAAAGGTATCCAAGAGGTATTATTGTGATAGTTGCTTATGCTCCGACAACAAATTATTCGGATGATGAAGTTGAAACGTTTTTAGAACAAATGGAACAAACTTTCAAAGCATTACTAAAGAAAGATGTCAAGATCATTGTTGGGGACTAGAATGCGAAAATTGGAAGTGACAACATTGGATATGAAGAAGAAATGGGAAAATACTGTGTAGAAAATAGAAATGATAGGAGGGGAAAGGTTACTAGAGTTTGTGAAGAACCATGATTGTATGTCACAAACACAAAGAGTTAAAACAACAACAAATGTACATGGAAGTCACCAGACGAAAAAACAATGAACATGATAGATTTAATACTGATAGAACAGAAATGGATGAAATTTGTCACCCAATGTAAGGCTTTCCCAAGTGCAGAAATTGGATCAGATCATCGCCTTGTCTTATGCAACGTCACCACGAAGATAAAACAAAAGCTAAAAATGGGAAAAAGCATTAGGAAAGTGAGATACAACACAGAAATGATAAAGCAGAAGATGGAGGACATAAAAAATAAAATCGAACATGAATTGGACTCAGCATCCAATTATGATATGAAAACAAGAGTTAGCAGCCTAGAAAAAAATCTCAAAGCAGCAGGTGAAAGTTGTAAAACTGAAACAAACAAAATAAAACCGAGAATAAGCGATAAAACATAGAAACTTGTAAAAGAAAGAAGTTTGAAAATGACAAAAAAGCAGAGTGAAGAAAATAAGATGAAATTCAATGAAGTCTGCCAAAAAATAAAAAAGAGTGCTTGAGCAGATAAAAGATGAATTAATGGTAAATGTGAAAAGGTAAAGACGATGATTGGGCAAAACAAGACAAGAGAGGCGTACCAGTTGGTTAAACAGTTAAAAGGAAAACAGAAAAATATGTCAAGGATTATTAAAGATAAAAACGGAAACATCCTAACAGAATGTAAAACGATAAAGGATAGATAGAGTAAATATATTATAGACTTGTTCACAGAGAAGAACACATACAAAAAAGAAATGCTTGAAATTTTGAAAAGCAGAAAAATAATCAATGAAGAATAAAGTGAAATAACGAGGTAAGAAATTAAAAGAGCATTGAGTAAAATGAAGAACAACAAAAGTACAGGAAAGGATGGTATTCCGATAGAACTGATAAGAGCAGGAAGACAAGTCTTGTGTAAAGAAATTTACACAATCTGTCACAAAATTTGGGAAAGGGGCCAAAAGAATGGTGCAAGTCAGTTCTGGTTATGCTGCCGAAAAAGGGAGACCAAGAAGACTGTAATACTTCCAGATCAATTGCACTAATTTTGCACATATGCATGATCATGCTGACCATCATAAAAGAACGACTGGAAAAGGTCATAGAGCAACATCTTCCTGAAGAACATGCAGGCTACAGAAAGGACAGAAGCACGATCCAACAAATTCTGATAGAAGATTCAAAAAGTAGCGGTTAGACAATCTACCATTGCTTTGTTGATTTCAAAAAAGCGTTTGATTCTGTCTGGCATGAAGGTTTGTGGGCAACATTAGAAAGTATGGGAACATCAGAAAAGCTGGTCAAAGTACTGAAAGGATTTTATGAAGAATCAAAAATTTTGGTAATAATAGGTACGAAACTTGGGAATTGGATAAAGGCAGACATTGGAAGCAGACAGGGTGATCCAATATCATCAATATTATTCATAGCATTGTTAGAAAAATCAATGGAAAAAATGGAAAACTCGGTATAGGGTGGAATTGACATAGGAAGGAAAACTGTCAAAGATCTCAGGTTTGCAGACGATATATATTTTCTAGCTTCCAGTGAAGAAGGTCTACAGAAGCTAATTGAACTAACACATGTTGATGGAAAAGATCACGGGTTGCATCTTAACAAAGACAAAACGAAGGTGATGATCACGGGAAAAGGTAGAAACAATGCGGAATTTCAGATAAAATCAGAAAAACTCGAACAAGTAGACCAGTTTGTGTATCTTGGCAGTCTTATAACCTGTGACAACAACTGCACACAAAAAATTGACAGAAGAATAGCAATAGCCCATGGAATGTTTGCATCATTTAAGGAAAGATGGAAAAGTGGAAATATATTTATAAAAACAAAGTTGAGAATGATAGAATCTTGCGTTTTCCCGAGCTTGCTCTATTCATGTGAGACAATAATGAAAAGAGATAAGCAAGAGAGGAAGCATTTGAGATAAAGTGTTACCAAAATTTGTTGGGAATCAGTTGGAGGCAGAAAATAAAGAATAAAACCATCAGAAATCAATTTGGAAGAGAGAAAAGTGTATATGACAAAATCAGAGAAAGAAAATTGGGATTTTTTGGACACATTTGGAAAAAAAAGTTGATTAAGATGGTACTAATGAGAAAAAGAGATTGGAGGAAAAATGTTGGTAGGCCTGCAAAGAAATGGATAGACGACATTACTGAATGGACTGGTGTTGGTATCCTGAATTCAATAAAACTGGCCAAAGATAGAAAAGTTTTTTGAAAAGAAAAAAGAAAAGTAAAAGCATGCTTAGATGTATATCATCGGCCTCGACGGTCCCCTGATAGACAAAGGATGATCATTGATTGATTGATTGAACATTAAATCAAAGCTAGAAAAAATATTTAATTGCTTATCCTAACGCTACCAATTTGAAAAAATAAAAAAAATGTCGTAATTTCTTTACAAAGTACAAAAGAAATAAAGAATAGGCTTTTATAAAAATTCATTTAACTATAAAAAACAAATTGGAGAGTGATAAATGAAATCATAAATATGGCAAAACCCACCATAAGCATTAATCAGTTAAAATATCATAATGCCACTCTAATTGGCGCAACTTGCAATTGCAATGCTTTAAAATAAAACTTTGTCGACAGTATTAACCAGCTTCATCTTGGCTTACTTCAAAAACCCACTGTAGATGAATTGGTTGTTGGAATGTAGAGAAACAAGAACTCACCGCTTTTGGACGCTATAGAACCAATTGAATTTATCAGTTTAATAAATAAATTCAAACCAAATAAAAATAAATTTTGTTCATCTGATGGTTGAAATATGTTTATTATAAAGTTGTTTGTTGAAGAAACTCTTTCCCTTTTACACATATCTGTAACTTATCTTTGCACTGTGGAAAATTTGGAGTGCATTTAAAACGGCAAAAATTCTGCCTATTTTTAGGAAGGGTTACAGAGTGGACCTTGGTAACTATCAACCGATTTCATAACTTTTTCCCTTGTTAAAGGTGCTGGAACAAACACGAGGTTATCCACCCACTGTTAGAAATGCCCGCCATAGAAATACATATAGGTCATCTATATAAAAAACGGATTCGCGCGCTCGCCGATACAATTTCAAATGCTGAAACAACTGATGACATGGGATTTTTTTAGATTCCCCAAATCTCCTTTTTCGAGGTCTGCTAATACAGAAAAAAAGCGAAAACGTTACCCGAATATTGTTAAGGAAATTAAAACACAAATTGAAAAAAACCAAAAGGTATCAAATCGCACTGTGAAGTACGATCTCGATTTTATTTGATAGTTAACAAACACGAAGTAAATCAAACCAGTAGTTAATTTTTTTATTGAGATCATATCACAATATAACTTTTACGCAAATATTTACAAAATAAAATTATTCATTTACCAATTCTTTGAACAACCCAATCATTTTGGCAGAGAGGGCATCTGTTATTTTGTTTAACCCAAAGGGACATGCAACAATTGTGAAATGAGTGATTGCAGTCTCCCCATACAACTGAAATAAATAACAAAAATTAAACAACAAATAAAGAATTAAATTCTTTATTGAATTCTCATTCTCATCAAGCTTTAAGGCACAGCCTTTAAAGAAGAGCCTGTTTGCAGCCTTCAAGATTTGCCCGGCGAATTTTCTCCTCTGTAAAAATCCGGATGAAAAATTATCTTACTCACGTTGTTCATTGCTTCCTGAAATTCGGTCAAAATTAGTCCACCAATAAATCATTATTAAATTTCTCTTCCACTTACTCTATTTTTTTCTTACCTCTCAACATAACTAAAATATCTGAAAACACATCTCTAAATATGCACCCTCGCTGATCAATAAATCAATCGATCAATCAATCAGTCCATCTTCGCTTTAATAAACTCTAATGAAGTTTAAAGGTTTCCATTTTGCTTCGTTCAAACATTATAAAAGTTTAGAACATTTAATCTATAAATTTATCTTTTTTCAACTGCCCTAGCACCTCTATTTAGCGACAGAATTTTTAAGGTGATAATAAATCTTATACTCCATTGTATATGCAACATTTTTTGAAAAGTTTTACAAAACAGTGGCGTTTGCGTTTTTAGAAAAATGTGTTTTCAAAATAATGTACATGGCCAACAATTGTTCCAGCAGAATGCCACTTTTATGGTCTAGTACTGAACCAATACAACTTTCTAAACCTTAGTTTAAAATAAATTGTTGAAAATTTAAAAAAATTTTCATGGATGCATAATCTAATTATACAACATTCGTGGAATGCATAAAAATTTTATGTCATTTTAAGATAAAATAGACCGCTCTGAATCAGGATCCTTCAGCTTTAAAGATCTATTATATCTTTTTAAAACCTCAAAGCTTTAAAAATCTATTAAATCATTTAAAAATAACTTTTAGTTTTGATACTTCCACAAAAAAGTATTGAAAAAATAAAAAATTGTAATTCTAACCAACACATTCATCTTGTTTGTTGTCAGCCTGACATCTAAGGCATGCATCTATAAAAAAAGAGTTTAATGGGATAAAAAATACAAAAAAACATTGAGGCCATTAAAAACTAGCTGCCGAACAAAATGTCAAAAAAAGAAGCATTTGGAAAAATAATGATTATAGATTAGATACCATTCCGTATTTATTTTGTTCAAACAACTGGTAAAATAAAAACAAACGAAAAATTAAAAACATTGTTCATTTAATCAATTGAGAAAGAAGAAAACAATGGATTGATGTAAGACAGAAAAAAGGATTAGACAGATCAATGGCTTAACTTATTCACTTATTCACCCACAAAATACAGAAACAGATACACACGCATACCTACACACACACACACACACACACACACACACACACACACACACACACACACACACACACACACACACACACACATATATATATATATATATCATTATTATTATTATAAAGATTGTTCATAAAGCACTCAATAAGCAAAAATATGTTCTCACAAACGCCCTCACCAATAAACTTGAACTAAGCAGAATTTCCAAACAATACACAAAAAAAACAACAACAATAATAATAAAAACAACAACAATAATAATAAAAACAACAACAATAATAATAAAAACAACAACAATAATAATAATAAAAACAACAACAATAATAATACAAAAAGTATTAAAGTAATTGAGTCTGAAAAAGATATGCTCTTAATTCGCTTTAAAACGAAACAAACCAGAAAATTACGGTTGAGACTGTCGTAGATACAATTGTTATGAAATAATACCGCATTTTCAGCTCTGATCAATTTCTGGTTCAATCTTCAAAATTTTGTAGCTTATGTTTATCATTGGTTTTTAATATATTTATATAGAAACAAAATTTTTAACTACTCTTCTATTCATTTTTATTTTATACAGAAAAAGTTTTTTCGATAATTCTTACCTTTTCCATTTTCGATGTAGTATGTTATTTGTTATCAAATATTGGTTGTAAATTTATAAAAATGTTCACTAAATGTTCTTAAAACTATTGTTAATAAGCCCGGTATATTTCACAGGCCCTAAGCTATTATTTTACAAGTTACTTGAGTTTTATTATTTAACTCTAATATTGAAATCCTAAAATAAAACACATCTGAAGATGCGTAAGAGCCAGTTTCATTGAAGTTTCTAACAAGAATTTTGATGCCAACAATTAATTTAAATAAATAAAAATTTCATTGCTACAGAACAGGAAGTATTAATTTGAATGCATGCTCATTCGTAGTGTGGTGTAGCCTGTAACGTTTTCATACTTTTGTGCACATTGCATGCTAAATTTTAGATCCGCTCTGAAGTTCGTAAGTGATGGAGAAGTAGTCAGAGAAGGAGGTAGAGAATTCCAGAGAAAATGACAAGAAAAAGCAAACAACACGAATTTAGAGAAGTGAGAATAAGAAGATGACGGTAAACCGGGGCGTTTAGGGTCAATTAATATATCTGATAAGTACATAGAAAATAATGCTACAGACGTGAAGCCGAGATAAGAACTAGTAGTTAGAAATTAAGTGAAGTGCTTGCAAATTTAATTAGAAGGCGTAACTAATTAAAACGGTTGTAAAAAAAAAGTCACGTGACGCGGCATCGGCAGCTATATAAGAGACGAGACGAACGAGAACACAGAAGGAACACGAGGAGCAGGTAAGAAGAAGACGGAACACAGTTGACGTAAAAGTGATTAACGTGATTTTACGTAGTTATCTTGATTAATTTATTGTTTCTATTACGGCTGGTATTAAATAAACGTTCAACTTTGCATTTAAAGAAGTTGTGTTCATCTATCGGAAATCTTGAACCTACGGATAAACGAACTCTTGACTATCGTTGGAAGCTATAACACGGTGTTGGAGATATAGCGAGTATTGAGCTATAACATTTGTGGTACCGGAGCTGTGCTGCTATGATCTGTCTGGCCCTATCTGCGGCCTTTGACACGATTAATCATCAAATACTCCTAGAAAGGCCAAAAATGGAGTTTGACATCGCTGACACAGCTTTGTCCTGGTTCAGTTCATATCTTTCAAACCGCTCAATTTATTAAACTTAGCACACAGGTCTCTTCTGTTTTTTGTTTATCTACCGGAGTTCCTCAGGCCTCTGTATTAGGACCAATGCTTTTCACTATTTATACTAGTCCCTTATCTGACATCTTTAACAATTATGGCTTATCAATAAGCTGATGACAAGTATAGTATCTGAAATCTCCCACCAAAATATCACTTCTCAACTCAATAGACTTAACTCTTGTTTCTCATCAATGAAGGATTGGCATTCACTTAATTTTCTTCAACTAAATGCCCAAAAATCTAAAATAATGTTTTTTGGCACACCACAACAACTCACAAAATTTTTTCCACCCTTCAACGTGACAATTGCTGGATTAAGCCTGTCTGCATCAACAAGTCTTAAACTTCTAGCTATTACTCTTGATCGGTCTCTAACTTTTAAAGCTCACACTTCTGCTCTCATCAAAGTATGTAATTACATTATTTGGTCTATTCGCCATATTCGACCTTTTTCACAGTCGAAATGGCCTCCACGCTAGCACGCTGCCTTGTATTATCTTGCCTACTGCAACTCTCTGTTATATGGCACTCCGTATCTAATTTCCTCTCTTCAGATCATTCAAAACAGATTAGTCAAACTTGTTTTAGAATCACCTCGTTTATCTTCTAGTTCAACATCTCTTGCTCACTCGCACTGGCTGCCAATTCATCAACGCATTAAGTTTAAAATTGCTGTCATCACATATAAAACACTCAACACATCTCAACCATCATACCTTCACAAACTCATTCGCCGTTTCACATCTGTTAATCATCGCCATCACCTTCGTCTGCCGTCATCATTGCAATTGCATCAACCAGTCAATACATCAGCTCTCGTCAATAAAGGCTTTTCACATTGCTCACCATCAATATGAAACAGTTTGCCACTCATCATCCGTCAACAATCATCAATAGAAACGTTTAAAAAGCGATTGAAGCAGCATCTGTTTGAACAGGCCTTTGGTGGCCGTGCTGACATTTGTTTATCCGGGAGCCTCTGACGCTATGCATAGGGCGCTCATAAATGACATTATTATTATTATTAAGATAGAGTGTAGAATCAGAAAGACCATAGTAAAGCGAGTTACAATTATCAATCCAAGATAGAAATAAAGAAGTAACAAGAAGTAGGAGAAGGATCGTCCAGAAAAGATAAAAGTTTTTTATTCTACGTCGATGAAAGTAAGAACTTTTAGCAATACTATTAATCTGAGAAAGAGACATGCTAGAATCAAAGATGAAGCTTAGACAACGAAACTTATGAGAAACGTCAAGAGTTTTAGAATCAGATTAATAGAGAATTTAGATTTATTATAACATATTAATTCAAATTTAGAAGAATTTATTTTATGATACATAGAGTCAGACCAAGCGATACTAGAAGAGAGATAAATTATGAAGAAAACTATTGAGATATATGGAGGAAAAAAAAAATAAATATAAGAATCGTCAGCATATAGTTGACTAGTAAAAGAAAAAGTAGTTCGGATCAAAAGTACAGAGTATAAATAGAAGAGGGCCAAAGATAGATCCTTGAGGTACCCCAAAAGTAAGCATAGAGCAGTTAGAAGTAGCATTATTAAGAACAACAGAAGAAAAACGATTACAAAGATAAAAAGAAAACCAAGATAGAAAAGAATCAGTAATATTAAAAGATTGATCTAACAGTCTCTAGAGAATGTATGATCAACACTATCAAAAGCAGAAGAAAAGTCAAGAGCAAGAAAAAGAGTTAGATTACTATTGTCACTAGCAAGAAGAATATCATTATGCCCTTTAAGTAAGGATATTTCAGTACTGTGAGCAGGTCTGAAACCAGATTAAGATACAGGTAGCAAGCAAAGAGTTAGAGTTTAAATAACAAGATAATTGATTATTATAAACTACTTTTTAATTATTTTAGATGAAAGAAATTAGTAAAAGGTCTATAATTAGATAAAAAGGAAGGATCTAAAGATGGATTTTTAAGGATAAAAATAAAACAATAGAATTTTATAAGAAGTAGGAAATTTAGATCTAGTAGGAAATTTAGATATAGAAAGAGATAAATTAACTAAGATGAGAATGAAAATTGAAATCCAGCACAGTACATCCAATTCTCAAAACAAAACATTGATCATCACCAAAAGATTATTTCCCAATTTTGATCACCACCATTCTTTCACGTATAACAGAAAAATTCATTTTGAATGATTGAAACATAGATAGCAAACCACTAATACAAGATCAGCTCCCATCACCTCTCTTGCTTTTATAATAACATCCCTTCTTAAAAATAATAATCCTGTTCATCTTATTTCTTTTGAATTTTTTATAATTTTTGACACTCTTAATCACTTCTCACATACAAACAATTTAGCATCTATTCCTCTACCTGACAACATTTACAACATTATCGTAAATTTTCTTTCTGACAGGAGTCATTCTACATTTTTCAGTTCTACACTTTCATCTACCTTACTTACTAATTCTAGTGTAGTTTAAGGTTCTTCCTTGGACTATCAATTTTTATCATCAATGCTTCTACTCTCAAAACTCTTCCTAGCTCATCATTCACAATAGTCACAAGAAAATAGCATTACCTCCAGAGCATCCATCAATCACTCATACGAATCAATTAAAAATATTTGGCACCACAATAACCTCCACACTTAATGTAGCCCCTCATATTAATTACATCATTACAGAAGGTTTTCAAACATTTCAGGCACTCAAAACACTCTGCTCACATGGTCTTAGAGGCATCAAATTATTTGATATATTGAATCACTCAATCTCACGCATCAAATATGCAGCTTTTTCCTGGTCTGGTTCTGCTACAAAACAACTTCAACAACTACAATCTTTCATCAAAAAACTAATTCGCCTCAACTATCTACCTGCACCATATCCTACCATCACTCAAATATTCAACACACTCGATTCAAGATTATTTAAGAAAAAAACTAACAATAACCACGTCATCCACTCTCTACTACCACCAATTAAAACTACATGACACAAACTTTATCAATGTAAACATAACTATCAAGTCGTCACTCAATCAACTTATCAGGATAAGACCTACATCACAAGACACCTTAAATATATTAACACTCAATAAACCTCTGTTTTTTGTTCAATTATGTCTATTCTTTTTCCTTAATGAACACTTGACTTACTAAGTCACTAACTAGTCAATCAATCAATTAATTATTTCATTCATTCATTTTCTATACCAGTTTTATTTACTATGCTCACTATGCTTCAATTAAACATTCTTACCCTTTAAACATTCTGTTCCCTTATCATATCGATCCCATAACTTACTAGGTTATTCACTAGTCATCACATAATTAACTTTTTTTTATTCGTTTTTTAAATCAAAATTTCATTTTTAATACTTCTCATGCTTAAACATCCTTACTCCGTTATTCATTTTCTATTATCATATTATCGTTTATTTATACTATTCTATTGCCTTGCAAGTTGTAACAAGTAACAGTTTCCGCCTCTGTCAGATACTGATTTTTTTAATAATAATAAAAAAATATTTCAGAAAATTCTTTAAGTAAATTAGAAGTAGATCTAGAGAACAAGCTAATGAGAACAATGGATAAAACTAGAAAAAAGTTTAATTTGCCACAATTTTTATAAATAACAGAAGTCAAAACACACCCATAACTTGAACTCGGCATATAGCACAAGTGTCACATTCTACATCCCAACTCCACAGTGCAACGGCGTTCCACTTTTTTAGAACAAACATTTTGTCATTTAACTTATTGTTGTGTGTATCATTTTCTGTGAAATTAAGGGAACTAGCCATTACGAAACTTTTGCTATTATTTAATTAAAGAATACGAATTAAAGAACAGGAATATAGTCTAACTAAAACTAAAGAAAAATATTTACGGTAATCTCTGACCTGGGAATTTTTCGAAAAACATAAACAAATGGCTATAAATAGATTAAGCTGGATGTAATTTTAACTCCTCCCGCTGTTCCTAAAAATTATTCATTTTTCGAATAAATTATTTAACGTAATTTAATATAAAAACTGTTTTGTCAATCGAAAAAAATGTTAAATATTTAAATTTATTTATATGTTAAGTTTATATTAATAATTTTTTGTTTTCTACATAATACCTTTTTCATTACCTATTTTATTATAACCATTATATAATCCATGATTAAAGTCGTATTCACAAAAACTTTCAAAAACTGTATAACATTTAGTTTTTAAATATTAGCGTTTTTTTAGTGACAAATATTATTTAATTGGAATGAAATGTTTTTAGTTTAAAAAAATATTTCAATCCAAACTAATCTGTTTTCATTTTATATTTCACAACATAGCATTTTCTTGACTCTCATGGAAATTAGTACTTCAGGAAACAAAATTTTTGCACTCATCCGGGTCAAAAACCGCCATGCGATTTATAAACATTTTTCAACCAAATTCAATATTTACTCAAAAAAATAACGTAGTCATATATATAGGGTATATATATATACTAAATATATTAAACAAATTTTAAACTTTCGTGCGAGGGAGCCCAATAAATGAGAACTAGATCAAAAATGGAGAAAACTTCTTTCAAACTGGTCGCTATGTTTTTTCTGTTCAATCTTCGAAAGGCATCTACAGACAGAAATGTTCCTCTTTTTATTCTTTCGGCATCCTCTAACAAAAACTTTTCTCATATGGAAAGGTTGATGAATGAAGAGAATGAGTGGGATGGAGATGTAGAATCCACGGTCACACACGGACCTATAGAGAAGGTGACGATGGAGGAAGTAGAGAAAGCAGTTAGAGAAATGAAACTAGGTAAGGCGACAGGGGTTTCGGAAGTGGTGGCAGAACATATAAAAGCGAGTGGGATGATAGGAATTGAAGTTATGATGAGAATTGCTAACAGTATGTTTGATGATGAAGGTATACCTGAGGATTGGCGACACAGTGTGTTGGTGCCGTTGTATAAGGGCAAAGGAGATGTGAGAGATTGTGGGTCATATAGGGGTGTGAAATTGCTAGAGCACGGAATGAAGGTAGTGGAGAGGGTGCTTGAGAGGAGGTTGAGAAATATGGTGACAGTTAATGAAATGCAGTGTGGGTTTATGCCTGGTAGGGGAACGGTGGATGCGTTTTTCATGGTGAGAATGTTTCAGGAGAATTATAGAAAGAAGAAACGAAGATTGTGCATGTGCTTTGTGGATCTAGAAAAGGCTTTTGATCGAGTACTGAGAAAGGTCATTGAATGGGCGTTGAGGAAGAAAGGAGTGAATGAGAGACTTGTTAAAGCTGTGATGCAGCTGTATGAAGGGGCAAAGACAAAGGTGAGGGTTGGAAGGGGGATGTCGGACGCTTTTAGTGTTAAGGTAGGAGTGCATCAAGGATCAGTGTTATCACCGTTTCTGTTTGCAATTGTGATGGATGTTGTGTGTGGAAACATAATGGAGGGGTTGTTATTTGAGATTTTGTATGCAAATGATTTAGTCTTGATGGCTGATAGCATGGAAGAATTGCAGTTAAAATTTGACAGATGGAAAAGTGTTATTGAAAAGAAAGGGTTAAAAGTTAATATTGGTAAGACGAAGGTAATGGTGAGTGGGGAAGGTGGGGAGCAAGTGATAAGTAAAATAGACCCCTGTGGAGTATGTGACAGGAGAGTGAAGGCTAACTCGGTATTGTGTATAGGATGTCAGAAATGGGTGCATAAGAGATGTAGTGGTGTGAGGGGGGCACTGAAAAAGGTGGAAGGCACTTTCAAATGTAAGAAATGTGTTCATGGTGTGATTAATAGGACGGACGCAAAGACGGGGTTGAGTGGTGGTATTGAAAGAGTGGAAAGCTTTGTTTATTTAGGGGTTAAGCTGAACGTGGATGGAGGATGTTTGAGCGCTGTTACGGCTAGAGTTTGTGTAGGATTGATGAAATTTAGGGATTTTGGTGGGGTATTGTGAGAAAGAAATGGTCAGGGAAGAGGAAAGGGAGGGTATATAAAGCATGTGTGAGAGCAGCGATGGTATATGGTGGTGAAACTTGGGTGTTGAGGAGGAAAGTGTACTGCAGAGGGCTGAAAGAGCTATGGTGAGGATGATGTGTGGGGTTAAAGTGAAGAATAGGAGGAGTAGTACAGAGCTGATGTCAATGATGGGACAGAATGAGGACATTGTGACATTGATAAGGAGATCGAGATTGCGGTGGTATGGACATGTGTTGAGAAGGGATGAAAGGGTCGGGATTAGTCGAGCGTTGGAGTTCGAGATTGAAGGAGTGAGTGGTAGGAATGGGTCGTCCGCGATTGGGATGGAGAGAGCAGGTGGAGAAGGACAGGGTGAAAGCGGGGTTGCGTGATACTGAGGCGAGTGACAGATGTGGATGGCGTCGAGGGGTATTTCGGTTTCATCATAGGTAGCCAAACGGCAACCCCCGATCTCGGGGAAAATGTCGTCTAAACGTGTGCTGTTGTTGTTGTTGTTTCAAAACGCACCCTTGTTGTTGTTTTCAATTACGCAAATTATATAGATGACCTCATTGCAATTAACCATATAATCATTGAATGTAACAAATATAACCAACGGAAGTTAAAATAGAATATACCGGTAAATATGCTAAAAATTTTCCTAATTCAGACCAGCATTGAAAAAAATTCTTAAAGAAAATTGAATTGATCACTAAAAAGATAATAATAAATAAATGTAAGTGAAACAAAAGTTTGCAAATTCTTAGGAATGTACCTAGATCAAAAATTAACATTTGTTGCTTCAAAGTTCGCCAGAGGCCTGGACTTAATTAACAAATACAAATTTTATCTTCCCACTAGAAGTCGTACGTTGCTCTGCAATTTAGTTTGGGCTTCAACGTATAAATCCAACACAAAAGCAATTTCTCAACTCATGAAAAGAGCAGTAAAAATGCTCTCAGACAGCTACCTTCACTCAAAAAATTCTAGAAATGTTTAATCACTATCAAATCTCGTTCTTACCTTCAAGAAAAAACCTTGCTTACCTTTGTCTTCAAACATCTAAATAGCCTTCTCCCGCATGCATTCGTTGATTACTTCAAATATAAAAAAGTCAGAGAAACACGACCACAAAATTGTCTTATAATAAAATCGGCAAAAAAAAATTCAATTTTTCCATATTAGTTTCTCGGGTTTCCGACTCTGGTGAAAATTTAAAAATTTTACACCAATTTAAAAAGATTTTGAAATCATTCATAAAAGAATCTAATCATTAGCACTCTATTTATATATTAAATGCTGAATTATTAAAATTTTGTTCTTGCAGTTTCACTGTACTACTCTTTCTGTTTTTAAATTAACTCTTTTGAAAGGTGGTCCGGCTCGATAAACTTTGCGTTTAATCTCAGTCATCCTAAAAAAATTTTTTTCTATTTATTTGGAATTATGTTAAATAAAAGATATTTCATTTCAATAAAACATCATCAATTTCAATTATATGGAAAGATAAAAGAAAAATGTAAAAAAGGCGTACAGACTGTGCTGAAACGCCGAAAAAACGCTTAACAGCATTGTTTTCCCACGTTTTATTATCTATAATAGCAGATACCTAACTGATAACCAAAATTTTTTGAATCTCAAGACTTGAAATTTTATAAATAACCCTTTTTGGTATGGCATAGTTTTAAACTTGCTTCGCCCTCGGGAAGGGTTGGTTGGAACAAGGGTAAAAAAATAATTTAATAGAACAGAAAAACTGGCTGCTTCGAAATTTTGTAAATGAAGGTTTTTTTGGGTACGGAAAAGAATTTGAGCATGCATTTAACTCGCTCCGTCTTTGGAAAAAAATTTTGTAGATGAGATTGAAAATTTTTTGTATACGTTTCGTATTGTGAAATTTGTTTCTATTTATTTGGAATTTATGCCAAAATATATGCCAAACCTGCATAAGGCTGAAGAACTAAAATTTTGTATATTAAAAGTTTTCGGATACGGCAGAAAATGTGGGCATGGTTTTAACTCGCTCCGCTCTTGGACTGTAGACATCAGGAGTTGTAAGATTAAGAAAAGGAAATTTAGGGTCCATAACAGAAAAAATTTAAAAGGAAGGATAGAATTTATTTGTGAATATAAAACGGAAAACTATACGTTGACGTTCAGATGTACAAAAGCTGGCTTGGGACTAGTTGTTCAATTCTTGTCTTGTCAACGAACGTTCGTTCAATGAAACGTTCTCTAATCCTAACACTGATTTTTGGAATAAATGTAAGTTAGAAATTGGCTTGTAAATGATTTAAAAATTTGGTGACAGCCAAATTGACGATTGAATGCACTTGTTGATCATCATAACTTTCAGATTAATAATTGTATCTCCACAATTTTCTTACGATAAACGTTGGCTTTGAGTCTAGGTTAAGTTACAAAATTTGTAAGGTGATGACCGAATTAAATTTATTATTGTCTAATAAAAATAAAAGCCGTAGCCTTGTCACAAACATCGAAATTAGAAGAACAACAACAGCCGCCAGTCTCACTCTTCGAACTGCATAGAAACAATATTCCTGAAGGACTGCACAGAAACAATATTCTTGAAGAGCTGCATAAAAGTAATATTCCTGAAGACCTGCACAGAAACAATATTGCTGAAAAACTGCATAGAAACAATAATCCTGAAAACCTGCATAGAAACAATATTCCTGACCCTGATAGAAATAATATTCCTGAAGACCTGCATAGAAACAATATTGCTGAAAAACTGCATAGAAATAATACTTTCTGAAAACCTGCATAGAGACAATATTCTGCATAGAAACAATACTCCTGAAAAACTGCGTAGAAATAATATTTCCAAAGACCTGCATAGAAACAAAATTATAAAGAACTGCATAGAAATATTATTCTTGAAGACCTGCATAGAATTAATATTCCTGAAGACCTGCATAGAAACAATATTGCTGAAAACTGCATAGAAACAATACTCCTGAAGACCTGATAGAAACAATATTCCTGAAGACCTGCATAGAAACAATATTGCTGAAAAACTGCATAGAAATAATACTTTCTGAAAACCTGCATAGAGACAATATTCTGCATAGAAACAATACTCCTGAAAAACTGCGTAGAAATAATATTTCCAAAGACCTGCATAGAAACAAAATTATAAAGAACTGCATAGAAATATTATTCTTGAAGACCTGCATAGAATTAATATTCCTGAAGACCTGCATAGAAACAATATTGCTGAAAACTGCATAGAAACAATACTCCTGAAGACCTGATAGAAACAATATTCCTGAAGACCTGCATAGAAAC